TATAAAAAAAAAAAAAAGTAAGCAGACTGGTTAGTATGCTCAGCTGTTGTGCATGAAAAGATGAGGACAAGTAACTTTAGCCTTCCCAGATACATCTAGGTCACAGCGCTAGAGTATGCACGGTCATCTGTCAAGTGCTGCATATTTAATATGAATGAAAAAAGCAGTACTTACTTGTGTGATACATGCTCCAGTAAATGCTACAATAACAGCAACCACATTGACAGTAAGCTGGAATTGTAGAAATTTGGAGATACTGTCATATACATTTCTTCCCCACATTACTGCTTTTACAATGCTGGAGAAGTTGTCATCTGTAAGAATAATATCAGAAGCTTCTTTTGCAACATCTGTTCCAGCAATACCCTGTGAAGAAAGGCAAAGAGAATAACGTTTAAATAAAACACATGCATTCTCCCAAGAAACACCATTGTATATTAAACAATGATTTATTAAATAAACAGACGCTTGTCTGCATCAAGTGCTCTCATAAATGCATCTCAGGCACACTGCCTTCTCTGCTCATTTAATGACACGAGAAAGTCCCAAGACACATCAGCAGAGGACATGAAGTTGTATTAAATAATTTACTCAACCCTTCAAGACCACAAACCAAGTAAAAATAACCACAATAATTTGCACATGCCATTTTCACTAAGACTTGAATGGTAATTTGGTTTTAAATGGATATTCCTGCTTTCAGGTAATGCAGATAAGGTTAAACAACAACCAGTATTCTACATATCTCAGGGACATTGTCAGCAAGAACTATTCCTTTAAGTGCAAAGCTCTGTCCACCTACAGCAACCTGACATTTTTTTGTTTTGGTAATTTATGATACTATTGGCAGAATGAATTAGAAGAACCGACATTTCTTATGCAGCAAGAGACATTTAGGCCTCGTGCACACTAGCTGCCTGCTTTTAAACACGAGAGACGTGATCTGGTAAGTATATAAAACAAATTTATGCTTCCCAGATGACTTTTTCCTGTGCTTTGTTGTTGCTGGGCATAGTCAAGTTTATACGCATTAAGGCATGTAAAACCGGGCTAAATGCACCTGGATGTAGAAATTTCTAGTTTGGGTGAACACTTCTAACTGAATGAATCTAGACCTAACATATGCAATGGATGAAAGAATAGCATAGCTAAGATCTAAAGCAAATGCATTCTAGTATGGCTCACAAAACGATTAATATAAAGAAGCAGCCTTGTACAAATTCTAAGTTACACCCCCTAATAAAGTACTATACTTATATTGTGCAGGGGTGGGAATGGCGAGAGTAGAGTAATGGTTTTAGGGTGAAATGTTGGGGGTTCAAGGTAGGCGGGCGGTGGAAAGGTGACAGGAGAGACGTTCAGGATGATGAGTGAGGATGGAAGGAGCGCGGCGATGGAAGACTAAGAGAAGGGGGTTAAAGCGAGAAGAAGGAGATATGTAGGGGTTGAGGGTGAACAGAGGCAGAAGGGTGTGAGCAGGGTGAGGGAAGGGTGAGGGAAGGGTGATTCAGGATGAGCAGCGGGAGGATTGTGGGTAGATGGTGATCATAAAGAGAAGGGTGGGTGCAGAGTGACGGGAAGGAAATTCCAGGTAAACAGAGGGAGGATTTTGTGCAGTGGGTGTATGGCAACAGGAGGTGAGATAGGGTGAAAAGGGGGAATTGTTTATTAGTGCAAGAAAGGGTGTAGGGTGATAGGAGAGAGTGGGTGCTGATGAAAGGGGAGGATTGGTGTTAAGGTGTAACAGGAGAAGTGGCAGTATTACAGGATGTGGAGATCTAAAGAGGGCTAGAAGCTGAATTAAGGTCAGCTGCACTGGTCCAGGGTTCACCTTTAGCCCCTCAGAATTCCCATTACCTCCAGTACTGATCATATTGTGAACATAAGTAGCAGGAGATGGGCAGGATGTGGATCAGCAAAGGTTCGAGCTCTGAGAAGGGAAAGGAAAGCCATAAAGGACATGTTGCTACAGCTGTGGAAGCCAATCTTGCTGAAGAGTCTCTTCTCTGTCTTGTAGCTTCCCCGCTCCTCAGCTGCTGCCTTTTGAAGATGAAGGGGATCCACAGGAATGTGCTAGGGCAAAAGTGTGTAAGGCGAGCCTGGGACCAGTGCAGCTTGTAACACTGAAGCTCCAGGAATTAACCTTGCTGCTGAGTGAGTCTAGCAGGGTAGAAGTGGGGGGAAGAGGTTTGGGTTTTGGGCATCATTGTTGTGGGGTCCAGATATAGATAGATATTCTCTTCAGCTTTTAAAGCTGTACACCTTATTTTCTGATAAGTATGATCCCCTGCATAAGAATATTTGAAGCCATTAAGAAATTCAATTACTAGCAAAGTAATAAACTTGCTGATTTATGAAAGTAGCCAAAAAAACAGCCAAGCTGTTTGGGGATCCATTTTTAGAAAGTCCAGCAACCACTGCAAGATGTGTGCCAAAGAAACAGCCTGTAATAATTTGTAATAAAAAAAGTAATATATTTGAAAAATTGAATGAGATAAATTGAATTGATCACAAAACACCAGTTTCCTTCCAATGAAACAAAATTAACCACTTGTTAACCGGAGTGTTGAACCTCCTTCCTGGCTAGGCCATTTGTCAGCATTCAGTGCTGCAGTACTTTGACATTTATTCTGTCATGCAACGCTGTACTGAAATTAATTGTATACCTTCAAGCATCGGAGGAGAGATTAGCAGTTGGAGAGCACCAATCTCTTCTCTGTTTTCAGTGTCAGCAGCCGCTGTGCAGGTCCCAGGGCTAACCGCCAGCAGGAGGGGTGGGAGCGTGGCAGCAGAGGGGGGGCTGCACACTGTTAGTATACAAGTAAATGGAAGGCAATAGAGCCGCCAAAACACTTGTATGGAACAGCTGATAGCAGTCAGCCATCCGGCCATCCTATTACAACGGGAGGACGGCAAGCAGTTAAAGGTCATCTTACCAATCTAATACAAGATTTCCTTTCTTGCTTTTGGTTTAAAGTTTGAGTAATTTTAGGTTTGCTTAAAGTCCAAACGCAACCAGTAATCATACAGTACAAATGTGCATATACAGTATAGCTAGCAAAGGATTTAGCATACAATAAGCCTTGAACAGAGTTTAATTTAAAAAAAAAAATCCAACATCAAAACTGACACCTAACAAGCAAGCAGTGCGGGCAACAAAGGTCGTTCTGGAAATATGACTGCCCGTAGTCAAGAATGCAGATATGTTTGGGTGAGGGGAAGGTTAGAGGAGGTCATGTGGTTGGATGCGGGAGAGATATGGGGGAAGGAAAGCATTGCGCAGATTCATCAGGGTGCTAACTATTTGCAGCCTCAAGGAGGGTCTACTGAAGGTTGGCAGGAAGAAGAAGTGATTTATTCACTGGGACCAGATGTTAGATGCTGAATATTGCTTTTAAATTAGGGCTTCATAGGGTCTTGCATTGGGGGTAAAGCCCATGACCTCTAAAATGCTTGTATATACATTAACCCAAAAACGCATCACAAATGGACATTCCCTACCCACTGTTTGATAACCCTTAAAGCAAGCAGAAGGATACGAGGGTAAGGCCCACCAACATTCCTGTAACTTGCAACCGCTAACTGCAGCAAAGTTAATGCAAAGATATTACCCTTCTACAGAGGAAATATTGGATTTTGAATGTACTAAACGGTATCCCCCTCTATTTTTCCACCATCCACATGCCCCAATACAAAAGATCACATGACCAGTCTATTCATAGTGCAAAAAGGAGAACTGCACAGCAAAGTCCAATAGACATTAACAGTAGGGGTGTTGGCTGCTCTCCATTTATCTCCTATGAATTACTTCCCCTGGGCCCAAGATATCCGGACAAATCCACACTGAGATGGATTAGTTTTTGTTATTCAGCTTATTCCACAGCATCTTCCCTACTCCATTAATGTGTCAAGAAACCATCACTGCTTTACATTGTCTTGCTTCTGTACTCTAAAAAGATAAGCAACATCTAGTGTACTAGTTCGAGGTGGTGGATCGGGAGGAGGAGGAGACAGTAACTGTACTGTATCTGTATCTATGTCAGGTCTGGGTTTTTTAAAATACTTTAAGCTCTTATATGGATTTAAAATAAGATTTGTATATTTAATATATAAAAGGCCACTATTTGATGTAAAATTCTCATGCGTTTTTCCTTTATTTGTTCTATCTCAATAGTTTGTAATTGGTTTCAAAAGCTGACATTGTGCTGGAACATTTACATGTGAAAGCCCAGATTTGGTCCCAATTCTCACTAAAAATACACAGAAAAACAAAAGGCAAGGGCGTACCCTTCATCCCACACAGGGGTCTTCACAGAACATAATAAAGCATGTAATACAGTGCACAACAGTAAGAACATTCCTAGGCCAAGTGGATGACTGTTAAAGTGTTAGCCAAAGACGTGGGTAGCGCATAACCTAGGTTGAAAAATGGTCACACCCACAAAACACACTAATGAAAATGGGAAATAGAGGAAAGGCGGGGGCTAGCCAGGACCCTTCCAACTGTTGAATACCACGATTGGATTGGAAAAGATACACAAGTCATGGATAGATTTTTCTTCTTCTCCAAAACTTCAATCATTTCTAACTGGTTCACATAGCCACAAAATCTGACTAGCGGTTATGGAGAGCTGTTGCTTCCTCCATCCAACCTTATGTGGTTGTGCTCACATACCCAACTCCTGGATCTGCAGGACCAAAGCTGGCCTCCAATGACTAGGAGTCAAGGCTCTCCCTGTAGAAAGAAGTGGAAGATACCCTTTAAGTTCCTTGAGGTATCCTGGGTTGGAGGGTAAAGTCACCTCTGGCGTCTCAATCCAGCGCATTCTTATAATTTGAGAGCACAAGCTGAAAATGGATTGCCAAATAGCAAGCCTCACTCTGAAACCATACCCACTGATATCTTACCGGAAAGGTTTACTCAGAGTAAACCTTTCAGGGAGAAAATGCCTCTCTCACAGACATCAGGGAGCTGCTGTCAAAAAGAGGGAGACTCCCTGAACATCAGGGAGACTTGAGATCCCTGAAGTAGGTCATAAAGTTGGTGTGTGCGTTTTCATGAAAGACTACGGTATAGACATTAGACTGTGAACTCTACTGGAGCACTGAATGACTTGAATGCCCCAGAGTCTTCTGTTTGCTGTGTGGTATGTCAACATGCTTAAAACATTGTATGAATGGCAAACTATTTCCCATACATCATATAAATAGGGTTAAAAATATATAATGAAATGTTCACAATAAAAAGAAAAACCTATTTCTAGTATATGTTCTACATGCTGTAATTTCCCATCACCACTAGATGGTAGTATTTCAATACTTTATTACAGGGTCGGTGTCCGCGGAAAAAAAGGGAGCTTCTGTGT